CCTCGAAAGCATCAAGAGCGGCGCCACGAGGCTCTCCGACCTCCCGCCCATCCAGGTCATGGTCGGCGGAAGTGGCAGCAGCAGCAGCAGCAGCAACAACAGCAACAACGACAACGACAACGACGGAAACAACGACAACGACGACAACGGGCCCTGGTATTTTTCCCTCAACAACCGGCGGCTCTGGGTCCTCAAGCAGCTGCGGAGGGAGGGCTTTCTGGAAGCCCACGGAAACAAGGTGGCGGTCCGGGTGCGGACGCCCAAGAGCAAGCAGGAACGAGACCGCTAYACGGTGGCCAACTGCTCMCTGGAGGCGAGGCTCATGGGGGRAAAGAAGAAAGCGGCCCCTCCGCAAACCGGCGGCGGAAACAGCGGGGGCGAATCCCCCGCGCCGAGCTCCGCCACGCCACCACCAAAGGAAGGATCCGACCGCACCGGCGGCGGCGACAACGCACGCCCGGAACGGGCGGAAGGGAGCCAAGCGGCGGCCGGGTGGTCCGGGCCGGACAGCGATGAGGRCAGCGATTCCTCGGAAGAACCGGTGGTGAGCACGCGAAATCGTTTCAGCACCATGWTGATGGTTGGCGACGATTCGTCGAGCAGCAGCAGCAGCAGCAGCGACGGCGACGAATGACGAACACGAGAGTGCACGGACGACGGCGACGATGCACAACGATGCATCCGCCTGCGCACCGATGGACACCGCACTTTTGTCACGGCRCAAMAAGACTACAACACTACTACTGTACCGCACTATAGCAATGGCAAAAACTTTTAAACCGTGCAAGCAACAAATAACAATCATTCTTTATGTACTTTTTATAATYTACAGTGGCGAGAGAAGCTTCGTGCCCGCGACGCCAAATCGTCCGAGCTAGACCAAGGCAAGGGACAGAACGCCCGCCGCYAGGGCCCAGAACCGTCCTCCTATTGTCGCCCTCGTGGCCGGGGAGGAYGGCTCCCGATCGTTCGCCTGGCCRAAGGGGTCCTCCGGGACGTACACCGTTGGCGACGAGGTYGGCGCCTGCGAGAACGAGCAGGAGCCCGCGTCCGAGGCCTCGCACTTCGGGGCGKTAGCCGCCGTGTCGTCCCCCGTGCTGAAGAGGGCGGCCAGCTCGCAGGGCAGGCCTGCCTGCTCCGTTTCGACGTAGTTGTCTTCCGCTTGGTACTGGGCGCCGTAGACCAGCACGGGGCCGTGGCCCAGGAACTCGTTGCCGAAAAAGCAGGACGACTCGAGGGTCAGGCTTCCAAAGCTGCGGATCGCGTATCCGGYGGAGGCCGGGTTGTTCGCCCTGCCGTAGGTGTTGTCCTTGAAGAGACAGTTCTTGACGACCAGCTCGCTGCCAAAGGTGTTCTCGATGATTCCGGSAAAGCTCGTGGAGGAGTCGTCGATGGCGTTGTCCCGGAAGACACAGTCCTGGAACGTGACGACCTGCTTCAGAGCGGCTTGCTTACTCGCTTCTTCTTCCTCTACGAATGCATCGAGCTGGAGGCGACGATTCYGCGCGGTGGAGTCGCCTTCCGACGTCTTCTCTTCCCACTGAAGGAGGACGGGGGTGTTTTTCGAGTTGCCCTGTTTCGACAGAAAYGAAAAAGAGGTCAAGAAAAACCGTTGTTAGTTTTCACAAAAAAACGCYATCAAAAAACAAATAACTCTCAAAACAGCAACRCCACTACTGACCTTGAAGGCRCAACCTTTGAATGTAATGTCGCCAGCAGATTTCAGAAGCACCGAGAACATGTTCTGCGATTGAAAGGTTAGGCCTCTGACTTCGACACTCTCCACGGTCTCGTGGATTCCGGGGAAAACCCCATAGTACGATGCCAGGCCGAAATCTCCACCCCGAAGCACACAGTCGTTCATTCKGCTTCCATCTTGGCCGCATTGGTAGATCACATTGGGCCGGAGTGCCAAAAATGGATGTCCGCCCGTGATCGTTCCTTCCTCCGACCAGACTCCCATATCATAGGTTTTACCAGGGCAAAGCACGTACAATCGTTTCATCGATGTGTCTTGAATTCCCTTTTCCATCTCATAGATGTCGCGCAAATCCGAAAAACAGTCGCCTCGCTCCTCCTCTGTGTTTACTGTATGGTCTACATYCCCGAACGAGGGTGCGATGTCTTCCTCGGTAGAAGAACATCCGCAAGGACCCTGGACAAATGGGTGGATGAGGTAACATTGGTTTGTGTTCATGGCGGTTGCAGCGTCCATGAGCTCGGCGCACGTGCGTTCGGGTTGAGCCGGAATTCTGACAACTCCGTCTGGATTCGTCACTTGTCGCCCACCCCCACAAATATTGCACGTGTATGCCGGTCTCGGGGGAGGCTCGTATGCCTTGTGAATGCAAGCGCAGTGTTGTTGTGCCAGAGGGGTGTACTGCCGACACTGGAATTCGTGAATGTCGTTTGCTTCCGCACGTTGTTGCAACTCTCCGCACGTGACAGTGAGGAAGTTCGGCAACAAGAATTCGGCATCTGGATGACCCACCATTCGATTCGGCCCACAAATCTCGCACTTGAACTGCGTCGTTGGTGGCGTTGGGATCTGAGGCGGGGGGTGGCATCCGCACGTGACGCTMGATGTCTGCTGGAGAACGTCACACTGTTCTTCGGTGACCCTGCCTTTCGCAGACTCTTGTTCGTATTCGGCACACGTAACGTTGTTGCTTGCATCAATAATGCCATCGGGATTCGTAACTARCATTCCGTTTGCACATACTGAACACGTGAAGGGAGTTGCAGAWGGTGATCCCGTAGAAACRTCACTAGGCGTCTCGTTGTCTAAGGTGATAGATCCGGTGCATCCACAGGGTCCATAAGCGAGTCGTTGCATATTTGGGCAAGAATCYTCGGGAATCGTGTGTGAATTGTCATTCAGAGCACTGCACTTTGCAGCCTGGCCCTCGGGTGTGACAACAATTCCATCAGGGTTTGTTATTTCTCCTCCCTCGCATATCGAGCATTGGAAAGGGGTAATATCATTCAGTAKATYAGTGGCTGGTGGCTGGTACGAGGAGGTGCATCCACAGGGTTCTCTAACCATGTCCTGAATGCTGCTGCACGCTGATTGAGAAATCTCTTTCGTGTTTTGGTCGAGATCRTAGCATCTAGCCGATGTTCCCTTTGGGGTTGTCACGACTCCGCCTGGCAAGGTCATTTCTCCTGCTCCGCAAATTGAACACTGGGAGACCACTTCTATTTCAAGCCCATTGGAATTGGCTGCTGGTGGGGTAATTTCGGGAGCCACACACCCACAAGATTCTCTTGCAATGTTTTGGATTTCGGGACATTGGTCTTCGGAAAATTTGTGTGAATTGACCTCCAGCGCTCCGCACTGCACTTCGTCTTGTCCAGCAACGAGACTCACAGTTGCTGATGGATTCGCAATCACAAGCCCGTCCCCGCAAACTGAGCAAGCAAACGGGCTTTGATCAGCTCCCAATGGTAGTTGGTTGTAATCACAACCGCATGGATTTAGTGCCTCTTGTTGTAGCGAGACGCACATGGTTACCGGAACGTTTGCTCTGTATGCTTCGAGTTCCGAACAAGTCTTGCTTGTACCTCGTTCATTGACGACGACTCCATCGGGGTTACTGATGAAACCACTTCCACAAACGGAGCATTCGTACACATCAGCATGTCCTTCGAGGAATGATGCGACAATTTCACCCGTAGTCGAGACTGTSGCATCTCCGCCAACGCAACCACAAGGAATTTTAGCAAAGCTTTGTACACGCTCACATGAACTTGCAGGAATAGTATGACTTGTATCAGCTAGTTCCTGACAGCTAATGGGCAATCCTCTTGTACTGAGAGTGAAGCTCGTCGGATTCGTCATTTCTCCTCCATTACAAATCGAGCATCCCAGTTGTTCTGACTGAGACGTTTCCGGTGCAGTRCCGATCTCTCCATCCTGCGTTTGTTCGTTTGTTGTTGACTCGAACCCAGGACATTCACACGGTGCAGCTGCGAGAGATTGAAAAGCTTGGCACGGACCTTCATCAAGCTGAGATATGTGGTGTGCAAGGGTCCCGCAAGTAGCCGTTTGACCTTCTGACGTCGTGACCAGTCCATTTGGRTTWTTCATTTCGCCTCCATTTTCGCAAACGGTGCATACAGATTGGGAAACTACCGGAGCCCACAGTAAGAAGGAAATCAAAAGCTGCAGCCTCATGGTGAAGTAGTAATTTGTTGTCRTATTATTGCTGTTATTGTGGTTAAAACCAATTCAAATTCCAGTTGTTTGCTTGTWTCGCTGGGAAGGGTRTCACTACAAACGTCTTACCAACGCTTAAGATTGCAATTGCTTGCCAGCAGTTCGTGTTTCGTTACGAAATCGGAGAGAGAACAATCCAACGCCCTCACGGTGCACTCTGTCGTGTCACGGGCATCACAGAGGTGCGCCAAGAAATTTGATCGGAGTATTAGAAAAAGCGAAGTGCCCACGTTTGCAGAATCTACATTCACGTCTGAAAATATTTATGGGTACTACGAGTATCGTACGTTACTGTACTGTACGGTACGAGTAGAACTAGTAGTAGTACGAGTACCTTASGTACTCTCTGTTGTACCGTAAGGTGAAGTAGTAAATACTAGAAGTACTCAGTAGCCATTTTACTAGTAGTAGTAGTGGTACTACTACTAGAAGCTAGTAGTACTAGTATTAGACATGATGTTCTGCTCTTTAAAGTCTCTTGTCCCTTGGATATTGTGGGTTACTTTGAGAAAACATGAGTATGTAYAGCGGGTGGTGGGTTTCGGAGGGCCCATTGGCACACATGTCTACTAGTAGTAGTAAACCAAGACAAAAGCTTCTTCTTTTTAGTACATCAATCTGACAAAAATCCAATAGTATTGTTTTACATGTTCTAATCGTCCCTATTTGCACTTATGCACTAGCATGTGTATGCGTAAAAAATGTTATCTACATGTACTAGTACACTGTCTGCTTCACAAAGTCGATTTCTAAAATAAGATCATTGATTTCGATAACCGATCGATGACCTTTTGGGTCACGAATCGTTACCATCACTATCGTCCAGTTCATCAACAGATTCAAATGCCGTATCGTCCACTTTGTGATACCACTGGGGAAGGTGACTTGACGCCAAACGATAATCATAAAATATTTCTTCATTGCAAATATCTCGAGTCGCTATCAAAACCATGGAATGCATTTCGATCACATCGCGATCCCACAAACTGTCCATGAGCGTCACGTTCCGCGGCCGGGCATAGGTGTTCGGGATATATCGTTTCAGTTTTGTCGAAGATCCTATKTCCATTCCCTGTGTGAAGTTAAGCATAGCAGAGCGGCAACTAGGTGGATTCGAAGGACTGGGATGGTTCACAATGTGACCCAATGCCATGAGATTGCTGTTGTCGTCCACAAGAACGGTGTACGGTGAACGTCTCGAGTCGATCATATAATCATCGGGCCTAAGGGACATTTGATAGGCGTCGTTTCGCTCTAGATCACGTTCTTCGTCTACAGAAAGATTTACTAGGCTTTCCTTGGCCCAAACCGGCCCCGGTTGAAACGCTAAGATCGATCCAGCTCGAGCGTAGCCGTCCACGTACACCCCACGTCCAGCGSCTGGAATAGAAGATCGTAGTGCAATGACGCTATACCCAACCTGATCTCGCATTTTTGCAGACCGACACAAATTTATGCTTTGGTAGTACCGTATGAGCCGATTTCGTTCTTSGTCCACAGAGACGTGATAACCAAACTCATCTGGCGGAGTCCAAGTGACCGTGTTCTGTTTCTCATCGTTGGTGTTTTCATTTGCATCTTGGTTTTCTGTAGAATTATTAGATTCATTCTCATCACTATTKGATATCTCTTGTGAGGACAGCCTCTGCTCCCCCTCTCGCTCTCGTAGCAGAGTCTCGATAGCACCCCGTTTCAATGTCAAGAACTCTTTTGGATCAGCACCTTTTGGTGCTCTACTCTGTTCTGTATTGGCTAGTTCATCTATGGTACGTTCTAGCTCCAATCGCAATATTTCTTCCAAGTAGGATTCTACGTCGACATCGGCTCGATCGGCATCATGCGTGTTTTCTTCGTCATCTAACCGCAACAAGAGTAATTCTTCGTCAATAGATAGAAAWGCATCAAACAAATCCTTGAYTTGCTCTTCTAAGCCTTCTTGTAAGACATAACGCAGTTGCATCATGGTTTTGTTATCAATCTCCATTTCTTCCAATTTTTCAAACGCCAAATCAATCATTTTTTCTCTGTTCTCTAAATATTCATTGCCAGATGACGACGATTTCGTTTCGTCTTCGGATTCAGCTTTTTCTAGTCGTCGTCGATCTTCTTCTGCGGCGATCTTGTGAAATTCTAGAGCCAATACCAATAAGGTCAGATCCTTTCGTTCTTGAATTTTACGAGGCTGCTCAGTTTCGTCTTCGCTTTTCGTACGAGATGACCCTACAACCGCATTGCTGTCACGGACACTGCCACTCTTTGAYGAAGAAAATGGATTCCAAAAATGCCGTCTCTGTGGCAGACTTCCTTGCAACGATATCGACGAAGAAAGGGATGCATCTGTTTCGCTTAATGGGCCATATGARYACGAAAAGGGAGATAGGATCGAGCGRSAATTTTTCTGTATAAACTGATGATGATAATGTTGCTTCTGAATCTTGTCTGATTGAAATCGATCCTTCGAAATTATAGTGGCGTCCCTTCTAAAATGCAACGACGATAGAGGCTGCCGTCGCTGAAATGGTCGACATCTCCGAAGTAATTGTGGAGTAGTTGTCATCGTGCTASGCTAGATACTTCAAAGAATGGAGCACTCTGCCTCAACAAAATGGTGTCACAATCAATAAGAGTAGAAAGTTATTCCTCGTTTACTATTGAGTTGTCCCTGTTCCCGTTAGCTGAGCCTAACATCGAATGCAAGGGGCGAATCCATTTCCCATCGTCCATCGAAGTCCATCAAATCAAATAAACAATACMGTA